CCCCAAAACCCCAAAACCCCAAAACCCCTGCAGCATAATAATAGTAAATATTTAGGAAAATTTTTTACTTGTATCGTTCACACATATAATAAATTCATCAATCAATTTCTCTATTAGACAGCAACCCTCAAAACTTACATACTTTCTAATCTTGATTAGGTTATCATTATTATTATTATTAGAATAGAGATTTGAGCTTTCTGCTGTTATTCTTCCTTGACTGGCTTCTAATGGATTTAGGTCCGTTGGAAGAGGATGTAGCTCTGTCAATACCGCTTTACTTAATCTATGGCATCTAAACACCCTAGTATGCCTATGCCTAGTTTGACTAGAGAGGACTCATATAAAGTATCTGCTGGGCTTCAGGAAAGTTTCTATTGGTAAACTGGCCTGTATGAAAACCAGAAGTAGACTATTGTAGCTTCTCATGATTCAAGACTCCAAAACTTGAATATGATGAAACCTATTGCGCATCATTTCTTGACTGAGTTTACCGCTTACTATTGTTAAATGAATTTTAGTGGTCTGTTTAGAGCCTCCTACCAAAATAGGACTTGCCTAAGGAGCTTTCTCTGTTATCTTAATACTAATCAGTCGAGTCCTTGTTTTAATCATTGATAAATAGATTTTTATTTTTCTGCTTTTGATAGTTCTACAGCAGTTTGTTAGTACTGACTTGCTTGGCATTTTAGTGGATGACTTAATCCCACTATTGCTTGGTCTCCTTTTTAATTTACTAATACTTCTGTTGAATTTCTTGATTGAATGTCTTTTCTTACTTTTTTCTATCCTTTTTATTTGGAGAGTAAACACTTCTGCTAAAATCTGGAAAGTTATTATAGCTGCTTTTACTTGTAAGGTTTTCTGTTGATATTTTTTTGCTAGGAGAACTTTTATTGATATTAGTGCTATTGCTGTCATATTCACTCACTACATTCATAAATCTTTCCCTTAGTGATTTAATTTGCTACCTTTAAGGCAGGTTAGCTTTGTAGGCATTGCCAAAATTATTAAAAAAGCTACTGTTCCCTTCATATCTTGAGCTTAATGAGCCTTCTTTTATGTAAAGAGCAGCATTTTTAGCATTAAATGGCCCTCCAACCTAGAGACCTTTTATTCGTTACTTTTTGGAGTTTGGATTCTTTAAAGAAGTTAAAATGCTCATAGCTATTTCAGTATACTGCCTTTGTGAGTAAATTTTCTGAATCTCAGACTCAATGTCTGACACCCGTTACAGATTTCCAGCTGGAACTACCCCAGGTGTAACTTACTGAATATACTGTTACCCCTAGGTTGAGGTACTTCGCATCATCGCCTTATCTTGATAAGCGAGATACTAATTATTCATCTACGAAACACTCTTATAATTATCGTTCTAAAGTCTGTGCTGATTCAGGATTTACTGTTCTTGAGATCGATTTCTTAATTTACCCCCTAATTTAAAAGATAAAATTTATTTGCCTCAGACTTCTTATATTATATTTTAATTTACCTTCCTCGACTGTATATGGCCTACTGACTGCAAGTAAAGATTGCTAAAACTCATTTGAACTAGTCAAACTTTATGCTTTCTGGACTTATTGCGCCATTGTTTGCCTCATATACCTTTGAACAAGTCTTTGCTGGATAATCTGCTAAGCTGTATCGTCTTGGCTTAAATCTCCAGCTCCTTGGCCTTGCTAATTACAATGATAGAAGGATAGATCTTCAGTGTTCAGGAAAAATGCGTCTAACATTTTATATTGTATTTATAATCATTTGATGTTCTACTATAAATCTGCTATGGGGTTTTGGGGTTTTGGGG